AAGCAGCAATTAAGAGATCAAAAGATGTGTTGCATTGGGTAAATCTGCTGCAAAGATCTCTTTAAAATATTGAAAGGCATTGGTGGTACTTTGAGGTCTAAGGTGTGCCTGTAGGAAAATACTAAGCCATGGGTTTTTTTATTGCCTCAGATGCATGTGAAAGTTGGACACCAAATAAGGAAGACTGAACAAAAAGGGATGCATTTAAATTCTGGCCCTGGAAAAGAATATTGAAAGAACCATTGACTGCCAAAAGAAGAAACAGGTCTATCTGTGGAGAAGTACATATATCCAGAGTGCTCCTAAGTGGTCAGATGAAGAGACTTCATCTTACATGCTTTGGACATGTCTGTCAGGAGAGCTAGCCGCTGGAGAAGGACAAAATGCCTGAGAAAGTAGAGGGGCAGCAATAAAAGCAGGAGATGGATTGACACGGTGACTGGCATAGTAGGCTCAAGTATAGAATCAATTGTGAGCATGGCACAGATCTAGACAGTGGGCTATTTTGTTGCGTTTTGGGTCACTATGGGTTGGAACCAATTGCATGGCACCTAGCAACAAAACAAAAAGTAGCACTTGACTATTAAACTAAAGGTTAGTTCAAAGCTGCCCAGTCATGCTGCAGAAGAAAGGTCTGGCGAGTGATTCTATAAATATTATAAAAGCAATACAAAACGAAACAAAAACAATGGATAGTTTTATTCTGTAACACATGGGGCAGCCTTAAATGTAAATGGATTCTGTGGAAATATATTGTACTATTAATGTAAATTGCATCACTATGAGGTAGAATTAACACAATAGCAGTTGATTTAGTTTGTTTCTATCTTATGCTCCATACCTCTGAATTATATCACAAAGCTTGTTGTGTACATTTATATTTTATATTCTCAGCAGTCTTGCAACTGATCCTGATTTTTTTCTTTTTCTGAAGTTATACTTTGCTGAAGTATTTTTAAAAATACATATCCAAATAAAATTTGTTCTTTTAATTATCTTATATAATGATTTTTCTATAAATGATATTTTAAAATGGACTGTCTATTGCTTGAATGTCTAATTTCTTTTCATTCAGTTTAGCCGATGATAGCATAATGTTTGCTTTCTCAAGAGTAACAGTTAATTTATTTTTGTCAGAGTCTAAATTTACAGGAACGTATGGACACTTGTGGAAATGTATGTTGTAATATTTCTTGACTCTCACAGCAGCCATATTTTCTTCATGAATGAGCATCTGTGAGTTTTAAATATCTATATGTGGATCTGATAGTAGAGGTGACAGATTAATGGGAAGAGAAGTTTGAATGATCTCTGAAAAATGCAAATATAAGTATATTATTTCCCCCTAAAGCATAGTAAGACTTCTTATAACATTTAGAACGAAGTAGACACAATGCACTTATCCTGACCTACAAGGCTCGATGTGAAGCGGATCCTGTCTCTTTCTTCAGCTTCACCTACTAGGTCTTTGTCATTCTGTTGGTCTGTTCATTTCTTTCAGTGTCTCACAGTCCTTCTTGCCTTAGGGTCATTGTCTGACCTACATCCCTCTCCAATCTGGATAACACTTGATCAACTCCCAACTACTACAAATGTCATTTCTTAAAATGTGAACACCCTCTTCACACTCTGATTATAATTAAGCTGTCATAGAAGGTAAATATTGCTCCTGTATAGTACTTTTTCATAGCTGTATCCTCACCATCTAGAATACATTTCTGAATTCTCTCAGGTTACTATAATTTTCAAAATTTATTTATAATTATACTTCAGCTTTTTCTACTTCAAATTTTCCAAAACTTCAAGTTCTTGAGGCTGAATGTCTATCCAAATATCTACTTATATAAGATCACTATTATAAGATTGTGAATACATATGACAATATTTGCCTCATTTCCTTTTACTCTTGAAAATCTTGTATTGCCTTCTGGTCTCTGTTATTTTTGCCATACTTCCTCTTATTTTATATTGCCTTCCCCTTCACTCAAGTTAAAACTTCTCTCTCTGTGGGCTCTGGCTCCACAGTCAAATGGTCCTGAGCTGTGACAGCGCAATTATAGAAAATAAAAAAAGTACTGATCTCCATTCTCATGGGAAGAAGAGTCCAGAGATTATTCAACAATCAGGTTTTATAGTACTGAGGTCTGCAAGCTTCTTGTTACACATACACATGAAAAGGGGCAAGGTGTTAATGTTGAATATCCCAAGTCCTCAAGGAGAATATCTCAAAGGAAACACCGCTATGCAAGAGACAAAACGTGCTAATTGCCCCTTAACCATAAGGGACAAAAGGAATAAATGCTCTTATATATTGGCATCATTTGAGTGGGTATGTGAGGAGTCAGTCATCTATAGAAGACAGCTTTCCATTAGCCTTATGGGGGGTAGATGTGATGTGGGGAAACATCCTTCCGAGAATCTGCATATGGCAGCATTTCCCCCATATTTCGGACTGCAGAGATGTGCCTTACACTAGGGCTGGTGTGTCAGGCCCTGTGGTCACAAGTGGGAGCCAGTCACATACACTGCCTTCTAGGTCCTCAGTTTCCCACATCTATACTCTAATCAATGACCCCCGCCAGCTCTCTGCCCCTCCTACCCCTGGCAATCATCAAAGAATGCTTCTTTTAGTGTAAAAACTTTGTTTATTTTTTATAATAGTTGTTGCTTACAATATTTGCCCTTTTGTGATTGACAAATTTCATTCAACATAACATCCTCTAGGTTCATCCCTATGAGGAAGTGTTCCACAGGTTGATCATTGCTCTTTTTTTTTTTTTTTAGGTTCCATTGGGCATCCATACCAAACTTTATTTTTCCATTCTTTCACTGGTGGACATATAGGTTGTTCCATCTTTGTTATTGTTAACAGTGCTGCAATGGACAAGGGTGTATACTTATCTTTATTTATTTATTTTTGGTAAGCTGGACGTTTTATTTTATTTACTTATTTATTATTATTATTTTCTGAGATCATTTTTTTGGGGGCTCTTACTGCTCATATAGCAATCAATGGTATCAAGTATATTTGTAGATATGTTGCCATCATCATTTTCTAAACATTTAATGTCTATTTTAGCCCTTATTATCAGCTCCTCTTTTTTCCTCTCTCCCCTACCCTCCCACCCTCGCGAACTCTTGATAAATGATAAATTGTTATTATTTTCATATCTTACACCAGCCGCTGTCTCCCAGGTTGTGTTGTTGGTTCCCTTGGTAGGGATTGTGGGGGTGGTTATGTGTGGATCATTGCGATCTATTCTCAATTTCCTCCTCTTCTCCCCCCACATTCCGCCTAGCTTCCTGTTATCCGTGTGCTTATCTGCACCAGTGTACATGCTCTGGTCTAGCCAGTCTGAAAGATAGGACTGGGGTCATGATAGTGGGGAGTGAGAAAGTCTCAAAGAACCAGAGGAATATTGTGTGTTTCATCGGTGCTGTACTGTACCC